AAAAAAAAAAAAAAAAAAAAAAAAAGCAAAACAGAACAGTTTCCTTTACCAAATTATATGCAGTGATGTAGGTGAAGGTTCTATATAAGTAAGGATTTTATCTTTAATTGTGTGCTCCTGCCTTTGTCTTAGCATGAACTGAATCTGCTAACATAACTTTAGCTCCAGGCTGCTATCCTTGAATTTATAGACTTAGCCACCACAGGAACTTGGATATTGTATGTACAACGGTGGCATTTTTGTTCACAGAGAAACTTTAATCTTTAAAGAGAATGAATAAAAACTACACATGAACATATACCTCTACAACTATACTCTGGTTTTACCTGGGAGGTATCACACCAAATTCTCAAAGGTAGGCAAGAAAACGCTTGTTCTTAACTCTGGACAAAGCTGCTCTGAGAATCAAAAAAATAGTAATTGCATATGCATGTCCTTAAATCTTCGCACTGTACACTTTTAAAAAAAAATCAGAACGATCAGGTTGCATCACACGTCGCTTCTAGAAATTAACAACAAAAATCCCAGTTTTTAAAGAGGATTAGGAGGATCTTGAATTTGCCTCCCCTACACACCCACGGACACTCACCTTTTCTTTGTGTGCAGATTATGAATATTTAATGCTGGGGCAGCCCTCTCGAGGACTCTCTGAATAATGCTAAATTGATTAACAGTAACAGTTTGGGAAAAAAAAATCGGAAAGCGGGGTGGGGGGCCTTCAGGCTCTCTTCCTCCACCGTTCCAAAGAAAGACTGTTTACTCGAATTAAGAAATGAGTTCTTGTTGGGGGGGTTGGGTAGAAAGGAAATTTACGGGGCTCAGACAAAGAAAAACTTTTTCAAAAGGCTGCTTAGTCTTTAGCTCTGAAATAAACCAAAAGGGATTATGAAAATAAGGCCTTTTCAGAAAAATCCAAGCCGCGGTCACGCCTGTGGGCGACTTTTAAGCCCCGTGTCCGGCGTGTCTGGGTCAGAACACTCGGGACTGTTGGGTGCATGCCCGCGGAGCCTACACGGTCCATGGCGGGTTTTTTCCTGGGTAAATTTCACAGGCGTCCCCAATGGACGCGGATTTTGCTGTTTTGAGCTGGGAGGGAAACCAGTTGCCTGCGAGGTCTTTCTCAGCCCTCAGGGCTGTTGTTTCTGATTCGTGCTTTTAGGAAGCCGTGCAAGTGGTGGAGGGTCTAGCGTTACTGTGCTCGGTTTCTTCAATTTGCGGCGGTTGCGGAGGCCAGGCTGGTTTGGCCGGACCGGGCAGTTCCTGACGCGAGTGCTTCTCCAAAGGGGTCGGTAGGGTCCGGTTCCTTCCGCTAACTAAAATGTACAGTCCCCGGGTCTATTACCACAGATTCTCGTTATGTATTTACGGGTACAGTCCGAGAATCTATTTTGAAGAGGCTCCCGGATAATTCCTCCCCCAAGCCCCCAACTTTTTATTTTTAACTGGTTAAAAATAGTTTGACTTATTTAGAATTTCACACGTACCACTTTTTAGCATCCCAGAAAGACAAAATGGGCTGTTGAGGTGTTAATGACTCAGATGCCAACACTTGTATTTTTATTGTCTTTCTAAATCTCTGGGAAAAACAACAACAACCACCTCCAAATTTTGCAGAGATGGAGGTCTACTGTCCTCCCTCCTCCTGGTCTTCCTCAAACCTACCCCCTGGCTTTAAAATGTTTTCTCCTACTTTTTGTATTACGTGCCCAGTTGGCTCTTACGCACAGGGCAGTCTGGAAACTTGAAACTCTAGGCAATCCAGTTCAGTTCTTCCCTAGTCCAGAACAAAGGCAAAGACAGAAAAAAAGTACAGAAACAACCCCTCCCCACACAAAACTTGTATTCAGTGCCCAAGGCCAAGACCTTTGTTTTGTGTATTCCTTTAAGAGTTGGCGAGTGGGCGGGGAGCGTACTGAACGCGCCCGCCCTCTTTCTGGGGCATCGGCTGAGCGTGGCCAATCAACGGGCGAGGCCTTGGCAGCGGAAGCCGGAAGTGGAGATTGGGGGCCGGCCCGGACCTAGGGAGGCGGGCCGGGGGCGACGCAGCTGCGGCCCGTGGCGATTCTGGGCTGGAGGAAGTGGCGGTCGCTGCGGCGGCGGCGCGAAGACGGCGGGCATGGTGGGGCGGGAGAACGAGCTCTCCATCCACTTTGTTCCCGGGAGCTGCCGGCTGGTGGAGGTGAGGGAGTCGGCCCGGGGGTCTCGTAGGAATCGGGAATGCAGAGGGGGACGAGCCAGGTCGCGGGGGCTCGAGTGATTTACCCTGCGCATCCTGCAGAAATCCCAGCTCCTGACTCTGAGTCGCCCCAGCACCTCCTTCCTAGCGCTGGTTGGAGAGGGCGGCGCCACCGAGTTTGTTTACCTCCGTGCACACCCGTCGGTGTTTGCTCTTCCAGTCCTGCGGCAGGAAGCGAGTGGGTTTGGTTTCACTCTGGTGTTTTCGGTCTTCCCTCTCGGAAACGAAGAGGGGCTTTCAGAGCTCTTTCGGTTTTGTTTTATCTCTCTGAATTTCTTTTTCATTCTTTGTTCGTATCTCTCGATCTTACCAGTTCTTATCTGGGAACGAAGGGGAAAGTGGTTTTTTTAAAAATAGCGGATTTGGAGATGACAAATTACTGAAATCTTAGTGCAAGGCACTATGTATACACTTTACATGCATCATTTAATCGTCATAACAGTGAGATACTGTTTTTGCTCCATTTTACAGAGGAGAAAATTGAGGTTTACAGGATGAGCTTGCGGCCAAGTTCATTCAGTAAGCTTGGAGCCGGGATTCAGATACAAATCTCTTTCACTTTCTCAGGCTTTGAACCACTATGGAGGTTACATAAAGGAAGATTGTTACTGTGGGAGAACTATCCCAGACGTCTTCCGTCTTCATGCTTTCTTGTGTTTCATTTCTGGGCCTCCCAGCATTCAGTCCACAGAATGTATCTAGCAATGGCGAAAAGAAGAATGTTAATGCCTAGACCGATATGTCTTACGGAAATAAGAGATGTGGGAGATGGCTGTTTTTGTTACTGCAGAATTTTTATGCTTCCAAGAGTATATTTAGTGTTTCTAATCAGTTTGGTGTTTGGGACTATGAAAACTTATGTATTGTTCCTATGTGCCCCCCAAAGTACTGAATGCATAATGTTACATATTGTTTACATACGTATGCGTGTGTGTGTGTGTTTGTGTGTCTGTGTAAAGCTTAATGTTTCACAGTAGGAGTTCAGTAGATTAATGAAAATAGGTTTTCATGATTTCACTAAAAATGATACGCCCTAAATCTTATTTTTTTTTAAGGATTCTTTTAATTTTAAAATAATCTGCACCCATAGTGGGGCTCACACTCACAGTCCTGAGATAAGAGTGTAAAGCTGTACAGACTGAGCTGGCCAGGGGCCTCCACCCTAAATCTTGACCCGTATTTTCTGCTCTCTCAAAACATACAGAATTAAAATTCACTTGTGAGAATGAGGACTGCCTTACTGCTTACATTGGAGAAGGTGACTATGGTGGTACCTGTTAAGACTGTCTTGAAGGGTAGAAATAGGGTGACAGTAGCAGTTAGACCAGTGTCACCTAGATAGTTATGGAATCTTGAGTTTCTTAGTGTCCGTAATGTCTACTCAGAGATCTGCCTCCAGGGGAATGTTGTATGAGAGGATCAGTTAAAGAAAGGAAGAGGAAACTGCCATATCTAAGAGGTTCTAAAAAGAGCAAAATTTAAGAAGATCTCTATTTAAATATTAAATGTTACTGATGTCTCATTTTTTTTCTGGGACATTTTTTAGAAGTTAATGCTATTTCCACTTTAGTGTACTAAAGTGGAAATCACTGTCCCAGAGTAGTGTTTGACCATTTTGAAAGAGCCATTTGTATCATTACCTATAGTTTGGTGTCATTTGATTAGGTAGCATAATGAAACTTGTACCTCTACATTTATTTATATGTATTTAATTTTTCAGGAATTCTTTGGGTGACTATAAATCTGTTCACTTGTAGTTCCATACTTCTAAGAGTTTATGTAGTTAGAGGCAAATACATTCAGAGTAACTTAAAGTGATACTTCATACTGTACATATAAGTTAAGTTTTCAGGCAGACAGCATTTTCAACTCTTTGTTGTTGTTTGGATTAACTACAGTTTCTTCATTCTGAGTTCTTTGAAGTGCATGGATATTCCTGAGTTTTGCAAGACTAAAGTATTTTATGGAGTAACAGTCCTAATTAATTTTTTAGAGGAATATTTGTCCTTTTCTTTTAAAAACAAAAATAAAGGGACACCTGGGTGGCTCAGTCGATTAAGCCGCTGCCTTCTGTTCAGGTCATGATCCTGGGGTTCTGGGAGGGAGTCCCACACCGGGCTCCTTGTGCAGCAGGGAACCTGCTTCTCTCTCTGCCTCTGCCTGCCACTCTGCCTGCTTGTGATCTCTCTCTGACAAATAAATAAATAAAATCTTTAAAACAAACAAAAAAAACCCCTAAAAACAGTGTGCTTTTAAAAAGCTTGAGGTGGATTTCTGTTTATATATAGAAAGTAAAAAATAAATATTTTTGTTTGGCGTCTTTTAATTTCAGAGTGAGGCATATTTTATTTGCCAACCACCAAATGACAGAAATCTTGTCTTGGCTCCTGTTGTGTGACAGAAGGTGCTCATTGAGTCTCTAGAGAGAACTCTGTGAAAAGAGGAAAAATTACTTAAATAAATGAGGCTCCTTTCACTCTTCAGTCCCCTCTGTGTTGTGTAATATGGAAAATGTTAGAATTATAAAACTGTAAAGCTGGAAGAGCCTTAGTCATCTTATATTCACATTCCTCTTTTTACTAATGAGGAATTTGATCAATAGAGATTTCAGTAACTTCTCAGTACCACATTTCATGGCAGTATAGTTAAAATTTAATCATTATGAAATCAAATAGAAGGTCAAAGGATTAAGACAAAACTCAGTATGTATTTGGCTGGACCATAGAAGCTAGAAACAAGTCTGGGCCCAACCTTTTCCATTTACTATGGGTAAAGACTTTGACGTTTCAGGGCTTCAGATTTCTCAGTTTGGAAATAGTATTTGCCCCGCATGTTTAATAAGGCTATTCTTATGATCAGAAGTTACGATGTTAGGCTTACATAATACTGGATGGTTTTCAGATATAAGATTGTGCAGTATCATTTCCGTTTTAAGAAATGCTTGCACTTCAGATCTCTGCTTTTTTTAATAAAGAAAATTCTGGAGCATTGACATCTGTTCACTGGTTACTGTGGACTGTTTCCTCTTTTCTTCTAGGGACCTTACAAATTACCCCAGGCTTTAAGGACATAAGATTGTATTTTTTTCCATGCAACCACATTCTGTTTTAAAGTTAAGTGTATTAAAATCCCTAAGAGCCTTGCTGTCCTTGTAATTTAATGCTGTATTTCATCAAGTCTAAAATGTACTTGATTATCTGGGCTCTGATTTTAAGATGCACTAAAAAGCAAAAGACACTGCCAGAGTATGACACAGTAAGAAGATGCATCTGTTTCATTCATTTAACAGGGATGTTAAAGTGAAGAAAAAGTGTGCTTTACGCAATCAGTGAAGTACGCAGAGATTGGAATCCACTGTTCAGTAACCTTTGTGTAATACATATACTTGTTCTTTGACTTTACTCTTGTTTTCCTTTTATGGGAGAAGAGGGAAGGAAAGGTAGATCTGGAAAGGTAGATGACATTTTTTGGCTTCTTTGAATAAGATAAATGTTTCTTTAGAAGAACCTTGGACTTTTTCTGGAGTTCAAGATTACACTTCTCAAAGGGCAGTTCCCAAGTCACCATCTTCAGCACATTCCTGGGAACTTGTTAGAAATACAGATTATCAGGACTTATCCCAGATATACTAAATCTGAAAGCCTCCTGCTTGATTCTTATACATAATGAACCCTAAGAACCACCAAGAACTGTAACATACGCCTTTGCTTCTTTAATGTGAAGTAATAAAAAGTGAGAAACTCAGAAGAAACCAAATCATAGCTCTTTTATATTTTCTCAGGGATCTTTATGGTATTTATCCTGTGTAAATGGTTTTCTGATTGTATCTACTAGACTTGGCATGTTCTCTCTTCTTTACAAATCAGTCTTTGTAGGGCTGTTTTCTTGCCAAAATTCAAAGAAAATATTTTGCTGGCTGAAATCCTTGTTTTCATAGATCAGTTGGCTTGGGGCCAGGTTTTACCACGGAGAGCCTAGATGATTTTTCCTTCAATTTTTAAAATGTTTGGAATGGTTGAACTAAGGAAAAAATATCTTTAAGAGTTTACCATTATGTGGGCTCCTTTTTTTTTTTTTTTTTTAAGATTTTATTTATTTATTTGACAGAGATCACAAGTAGGCAGAGAGGCAGGCAGAGAGAGAGGAGGAAGCAGGCTCCCTGCTGAGCAGAGAGCCTGATGCGGGGCTCGATCCCAGAATCCTGAGATCATGACCTGAGCCGAAGGCAGAGGCTTAACCTACTGAGCCACCCAGGTGCCCCTGAAATAGTCTCTTTACATATCCTTCTTTTCCAGTAGATTATGAAATCCTTGCTCCTTGCACAGTGGTTAGTATACAGGCAACAAACTAAATGAATAGTTAACATTTTGTTGTTGTTGTTGTTGTTTAAGATTGGATTTATTTGAGAGAGAGAGAGAGAGCGAGCACAAATAGGCAGAGGGGCAGGCAGAGAGAAAGAGGGAGAGCAGACTCCCTACTGAACAGGGAGCCCAAGATGGGTCTCAGTCCCAGGACCCTAAGATCATGACCTGAGCTGAAGGCAGAGGCTTAACCCACTGAGGCACCCAGGCGCCCAGTAGTTAACATTCTTTAAATGGTTGATATAAGAGATTTGAATTTATCTATTTAATTTGAAATTGGTATTCTTTTACCATAAATTAATTATTTAGGTCATATTAATTGTATAAATGTTAGCTCTTTTCTCCCATCCAAATTAGAGAATAAAGCTTATTTTGATGGAAAAATAATAGTTGTTGACATTGAGTTTATTTGGTTTTGCCTAGGGATTACTAAATTGCTCTTTCCTTTTCAGGGCCTACACTTATTTATTTATTTATTTATTTATCTGTCTGTCTGTCTATCTCTTAAAGATTTATTTATTTATTTGAGAGAGAGAGATCACAAGTAGGCAGAGCAGCAGGTCGAGAGAGCGGGGAAAGCAGGCTCCCTGCTGAGCAGAGAGCCCGATGCAGGGCTGGATCCCAGGACCCTGAGATCATGACCTGAACTGAAGGCAGAGGCTTAATCCACTGAACCACCTAGGCACCCCACCTACATTTATTTTAAGGAAGTTTGAAATTTGGAAAAGAGAAGCATGACAAAACTATTATAGCAATTCTAAAAAAAAATTAAAAAAATTATAGCGATTATTTACTTGAAGGAATGTTGATTTAGCAAACTTTTTTTATGAATTGAGTTACTATTGGAAGGCTGTAGCTCCCCTGTTTTATTCCTTTTGGGTTAAAATACATCAGTGGGGTGCTTGGGTGTCTCAGTGGGTTAAAGCCTCTGCTTTCGGCTCAGGTCATGATCCCAGGGTCCTGGGATCGAGCCCCACATCGGGCTCTCTGCTCAGCAGGGAGCCTGCTTTCCTTCCTCTCTCTCTGCCTGCCTCTCCACCTACTTGTGATCTCTGTCTGTCAAATAAATTTTTAAAAAAAATTAAAAAAAAATACATCAATGTTTACCTTCCAGCCCCATGTCATAGTACACTGTGCAGCAGAGAGAAGGCCAGATGTTGTGGAAAATCAGCCAGATGCTGCTTCTCAGCTTAATGTGAATGCTTCTGGGAATTTAGCAAAGGAAGCAGGTAATGAATGATGACTTTATAAAATCTTTGCAAAATATTAAATAATTGCTGAGTTTATAAAAGTCAAAGGTTTCTAAATCGCATAGAAGAGATTTGTTTATATATGATGAATAAGCTATTATAAATGCCAGTGCAGAGTGATGTTATGTAATAATTTGATAGATTATTTTATTTCTTTTATGTCTGTCTGTCTTTTTTAGCTTTAATTGGAGCGTTTCTAATCTACATTAGTTCAGATTATGTATTTGATGGAACAAATCCACCTTATAGAGAGGAAGACGTACCAAGTCCCCTAAATCTGTATGGCAAAACGAAATTAGAAGGAGAAAAGGCTGTCCTAGAGAACAATTTAGGTAAGACAAATATCTTTAGTTCCTGATAGTTTTGATTGTTTTGAGGATTCCTTTTATGATATTGAGAAACACACACACACGTATGTATATATATACATATATATATATATGGTATGCTATATATAAGACATACAAAATTTTGAAAAAATTAGCATAAGTCATTGGAGGAAAAATTGGAGAATGTAGTTAATAAAAATGAAAAATAAGAATTTTAGAAATCATGATGAATTTATGAATCCTTGCAGACTTTTTCCAGTATTAGTATATACATGAATGTCATTGTATAGGGGCACCTGGCTGGCTTAGTAAGTAGAATATGTAATTCTTGATGATCTTGGGGTCGTGAGTTCAATCCCCATATTGGGCGTAGAGCTTAGATTTTAAAAAATGTTACTGTATAAAGGACAGGAATCTTATAAATATTTGTAATATACTTTCAAAAAACAGGTCTGTATCATTTCTCCTAGATTGAGGTATTTGTTATTTTTTGTACAATTTTTAAATTTATTTAATTCTTTTTTTTAAGATCTGGAGAGACAAGAGGGTTGGGGGGAGGGGCAGGTGGAGAAGGAGAGAGAGAATCTCAAGCAGGCTTCATACCCAGTGTGGAGCCCAGGGCAGGGCTTGATCTTACAACACTGAGATCATGACCTGAGCCAAAATCAGGAGTCAGATGCTTAACTGACTGAGCCACCAAGGTGCCCCAGGTTTTGAATTTCTGTTTGTATAGCTCTTCTTTTCCCCTATATGTGTTTGTGTATATACACACACATATATGTGCTGAATATAAAAAGTAATACCCTTATTGGAAAAAAAAATAAATCAAAATTGTAAAGGGTAGAAGTTCTTTTATAATCTTGCCTCTGAGAAGCACCAAATGTGGTTAGGTATGAAAGCATTTTTTGTGAATTTTCAAAAAACGGAGGATTTCGTTTTATAATCTGGTCCCTTGAATATTTGTCTTTCACTACATATTGAGTCATCTCTGGATTATCTTTTCCTATCAGTGGCTGCATAGTATACTTGATTTAATGATTCCTTGCACTGCCTTAGACTGTACAGTCTTTGAGAAGCATCCTGTAGTGTAGATTCCATGCTTATGGCATTTAGATTTCTAGGTGGGGTTTTTTTTCCCCCTTTGGTATTATAAATTATCCTGCAGGAATCATCCTTGAATACATATCTATACGTGGTTATCCAGTATGTTAATTTAGTTAAAAAGTTGTTAATTTTCAGTTAAAGTGTTCATTATCCAAAGCCTGTTGTAACTGCTCAGGAGGGGCCTACATAAAATCTGAAAGCTCATAATTCCTTAATCAGTGGTTCTAGGAATAATGTGGTGAAACACTCACATAACTTTTATATAGATTCACCACTTGTTAATGTGTCGTGGTTGTATGTGTGTGTGTTTTTCACTGAACTTGTTGGGAATTAGTTTAAATTCACCCCAAAATATTTCACCATGCTGTTTATCTTTTTTAAAAGATTGATTGATTGATTGATTGATTGATTTTGGGGTGGGGGGGAGCAAAGGGAGAGAATCTTTAGGTATATTTCCCACTGAACACAGAGCTGTATGTGGGGCTCAGTCTCACAACCCTGAGATCATGACCTGAACCGAAACCAAGGGTCAGACACTAAACTGACTAGGCCTCCCAGGCACCCCTATGCTATTTATCTTCTAAGAAGAATGTTCTTTACATAATTACAGTGTAGTTATCACACTCAAGAAATTTAACATTAATATGGTGTTATACTATAATATATCATCTATGTAGGAATTTTCCCACTTGTCCCAATAATGTCCTTCATTGCATTTTATTTATTTATTAAAGATTTTTATTTATTTATTTGACAGACAGAGATCACAAGTAGGCAGAGAAGCAGGCAGAGAGAGGGGAGGAAGCAGGCTCCTTGCTGAGCAGAGAGCCCGATGCGGGGCTCGATCTCAGGACCCTGGGATCATGACCTGAGCCGAAGGCAGAGGCTTTAACCCACTGAGCCACCCAGGCGCCCCGCATTTTATTTCTTAATCTAGGATCCAGTCAAGGATCACTCATTGCATTTAGTTGTCATATCAGTTTAATTTGTTCATTATTATGACTGTTAAAAATAATATATAAAAATACCCCAAATGACAGAGACCTTTGAAAATACTCCGTATAATATTTGTTAAATGGGCGTTATTATAGGTGAACTATGTCATTTTGGCATATTGCAAGTTTTCTACAACAGTATTTTTTTTAATTTTTATTTTTTTTATTTGTGAGAGCGTGGGTATGCAAGCACAAGCAGGGGGAACAACAGAAAGTGAGGGAGAAGGAGGTTCTCTGCTAAGCAGGGACCCTGACGTTGTGGGGCTCCATCCCAGGATCCTGGGATCATAACCTGAGCTGAAGGCAAATGCTTAACCCAGTGAGCCACCCAGGCATCCCCCTGTGGCAGTATTATTTAAGTCTACATACTTTCATTTAATATCAAGATTTAAGAACCAGTCAGCTTTAAAAAATTACCTGTTTTTATTAATTCCTAGGAGCTGCTGTTTTGAGAATTCCTGTTCTGTATGGAGAAGTTGAAAAACTTGAAGAAAGTGCTGTGACTGTTATGTTTGATAAAGTGCAGTTCAGTAACAAGTCAGCTAACATGGACCACTGGCAGCAGAGGTTCCCTACACATGTCAAAGATGTAGCTACTGTATGTCGCCAGTTAGCAGAAAAGAGAATGCTGGTGAGAATCTTTGGAAGGAGGAGTTCTTAACTGCCATCAACAAATGAAAGTCAAAGTGTTTTTGTTTCCTTTATTATTATACATAATAATATATATCTTTATAATAATATAAATAAATAACTGCAAGGTTTTTTTTTTAAGATTTTATTTACTTATTTGACAGACAGAGATCACAAGTAGGCAGAGAGAGAGGAGGAAGCAGGCTCCCTGCTGAGCAGAGAGCCCAATGTGGGGCTCGATCCCAGGACCCTGGGATCATGACCTGAGCCGAAGGCAGAGGCTTAACCCACTGAGCCACCCAGGTGCCCCAATAACTACAAGGTTTTATGTAAAACTTTTTTCAAACTACAGGGCGACCAAATGAAAGTAGTTTGCAGATAGTAGGCTATATTTGTGAATAGTAAAAATATTATGCTCTTGTGTTTGAATTTTTTCCTCATATACTATGGACTCTGTCTCTGACTAGAATATTAATAGAAAGGTGAGAGTGATTGATTTTAGGATGTTAATAATAGTTTGTAGTTTTTTAACATATAAAAATGTATATTTTAAATATGTACTATGGAACTATTTAAGGATATCATGCCTAATTAGCTCATACTGCAAAATGGTTCTGTTACATTTTGATTTAGCTGAGGATAATTAGAAATACTCATTAAATTGGCCTGTGTTTCTGTAAAAATCTGTAATCATTCTTAGGATTCCCACTAAATAAAATTTGGAGCCATTTATATTTTTATTTAAAAAAAAAATTCTTAAGCCTAAATTCTAGAAATTGTTTCTCATGCTTAGCTGGGTATATTTATAGGAATTTGATTTTAGATATCTCCTGGGGAGCATTCCAGAAAGGAGGGATGCATTTTAATTCCTGCACTTTTAAATTAGTTTTTTTGTCCAATCTGTTATTCCACTCAACTCAAAAAGTTGAAACTGTTTTGAATTTTTATGTCGTTATTAGGATCCATCAATTAAGGGAACCTTTCACTGGTCTGGCAATGAACAGATGACTAAGTATGAAATGGCATGTGCAATTGCAGATGCCTTCAACCTTCCCAGCAGTCACTTAAGACCTGTAAGTACATGGTGTTTTAAACCTCACTTGTTGAAAGCCCAGATCTGTCACTATATTTGGTTTTTTTTTGTTTGTTTGTTTTGGGTTTTTTTGTATTACTGATAAAACTTTTCATTTTGCTTTAGAAATACTGGGTAACTTCATTTTTTGGTACTAATTAAAGTGAACTTGTAAGTTGGTGGTTTATATTGTTACTTATCTCTAAATTACCCTGTATAAGGAAGCCCATGAGTATTGGTGAAGTTTATAGGAAAAGTCTTATCTTGATTATTTGTATTTTTCCAGGGATCAGATCAGATGTGCAGTTAAGGGCAAAGTGAAATAGAGACTATAAAACTGCAACATAGATGTATTTATTTTTAATTTTTTTGTTTTTATTTTTCTTTAAAGATAACTGACAGTCCCGTCTTAGGAGCACAACGTCCAAGAAATGCTCAGCTTGACTGCACCAAATTAGAGACCTTGGGCATTGGCCAGAGAACACCATTTAGAATTGGAATCAAAGAATCACTCTGGCCTTTCCTCATTGACAAGAGATGGAGGCAAACGGTCTTTCATTAGTGTATGTGCGTTTTGTTTTTTTTTTTAATTGAGAAGTATAGTATGTGGCACTTTTTAAAGAAAAAAGGAAATAATTTTGTATGAGTGCTCTTTAATTGTGACTCATGATCTTTCAGGTAAATGATGCTCTTGCACTAGTGAAATCGTCTAAAGAAACTAAGGGCAATGATGCCTCAGTTGAAGTAATGATTTTTCTTTTTATCATTTTGTTCTGGCTTAACTTTGTTTGAGTATAGTAAATTATGATTCTTAAATATTTACGAGCCAGGATGAGACAGATCTACTGTAGACTTTCTTTAGGATGAAATGCATTATTCATTCCTATAACCTCTACATTTTCAGGACTTTTGCAACTGTTGACCTTTTTTATGTTTTAAAGTGAGTTAAGTAGTACAAAAATCATTGGTGTTCATTATTTGCATCGCTTGAGCTCTGATCAAAATGTTTGAAGAAAGAAACTTTATTTTTGCAACTTACATGCAGTTTTTAAGCTTGAGATATTTCAACATGTTATGTATATTGGAACTCCTGTAGCCTGATGCCTCCTGCTTTTGTAGCAGTGTATGGTGAGCAATTGACAGAGTGTGTGTGTATGTGTATGTATTTTTTTAATATGTGTAAAACTGTCCTTTTCACTCCATGTCACTAAGTGATATTTCATATCTGTGGTTATACTAATAATGATGGGCCTTGTAAGTCTTTTGGCCATTCAAGAGTAATAAATATGTACTGTTGGCATGGTAACGCTTAGTTTTCTTTTATTTACTTAACTCACTTTCTTTTATTTACTTAACTCACTGTTATTTGTTGCTTTAATTTTTAAAAATTACATTCTTATGTAACATCTGATGCATATAAGAAAATACAGTTGATATCTATTGAGATATAAATAATAAAATGGACCCTGGTGAACTCTGCTTGAGACCTAGAATGTTAGAGATACTGTATCTACTTGTGCCATCTGATTGTTTTTTAAAAATAACTATGTAATCTTGCCACATGTTTACGTAGGATGTTCCTTCTGAAGAATGCAGAGTATTTGAATGTATTATCTATGCAGAGTAATATTGAAGTGACCTTAGCCTCAAGGATATTTTTGGTCCTTAATAAGGAATCAGCATGGTAGAATGAGGTGTATGACTTGGCTTCTATTGAGGGTTCATTGTGAATCCTGGTTTTCTGATTTCACTTCTGGGGTATCCTTTCCCTAGGTTATGATTTTGTCATCCATTGGACAAAAAGTATTTCTAAAAAAAAGTATTTCTAAGTTCCTAATTTACTTAGAGTTTTAGGTTTAGAAAGCATCAGGTTTGGATGATTTGTTTAAAGGACCAATTCCCACACCATGTTATATTTTGTAATTAGGGAAATTTTGGTGGTACCTAACCCCTAACCTGGACTCACTGAAATAGAATTTCTGGAATTGACACCTGCTAATTTAATTTTAAATTTTCTCTGGATGCTTCCAAAGTAAGCAGCCTAGTACTTGGATTTGGCAACCACTGGATTAAAGCTCCTTTTTTTTTCCTTTTTTTTTTTTTTTAAGTTATTTAATTGCACATAGGACAAAACTGAAAAGTTTCAGAGTAAAAAACCTTTCTCATTCTTCTCTAGCTGCTGATTTTCCATCTGTGGAAGAAATCAATGTAGGTCAGATCCTGGTATGTTTCTGTAGGCACTCTGTATAGTAAGATAAGAATACACTCATTAGGGACGCCTGGGTGGCTCAGAGGGTTGGGCCTCTGCCTTTGGCTCAGGTCATGATCTCAGGGTCCTGGGATCAAGTCCCACGTCGGGCTCTCTGCTCAGCAGGGAGCCTGCTTCCTCCTCTCTCTCTGCTTGCTGCTCTGCCTACTTGTGATCTCTCTCTGTCCATGAATAAATAAAAATCTTTAAAAAAAAAAAGAATACACTCATTACATGTGTATGTCACCATCCCTTCTTTATACAAATAGCATCATAAAATAAAAATTTTTCTGTGCTTTTAAAAACTTTATATGCCTTAGAGTTTATTCCAAATTAGTTACAAAGAATGTCTATGTTTTTTGTTTTGTTTTGTTTTACTATTCACTTTGAAATTTCAATCCTTTTTCTTTTTTTTAAGATTTTATTTTTAAGTGATCTCTACATCCAACATGGGGCTCGAACTCACAGCCTTGAGATCAAGAGTCGTGTGCTCCACTGATTAAGCCCATCAGGAGCCCCTGAAATTTCAATCTTAACAGAAAAGTTGTCATAATAGCACAAGAATGTCTGTATTCCCCTTCCATAGTTTGCAATTATCAACATTTAGCCACATTTATCCCATCATTTTCTCTTTTCTTTACATACACAAAGTATGTTTTTTTTTTTTTCTGAGCTGTTCAAGAGTAAATTGCAGGCATGATTCCAAGTCACCCACCTGCTATATAAGCATCAGTGTATAATTCTTAAAAATCAAGATGCTCTTCCACATAACCTCATAATATAACCATCAGAATCAAGAAATTAACATTGATACACTATTATCTATTCCACAGACCCCATTCACAGGTGTTGTGCCAGTAATGTCCTTTATAAGTCTATCCAGTCCAGGATTATTTGTGGCATTTCTTACCATTTTGCTTAGGATTCAACCTGCAACAGTTGTTCAGTGTTGTGTTTTCTTTCATGATCTTGACTTTTTCTGACATCCCTCTATAAAAGAAATTCACATTGATACTTCAGTGCCAATATCGCTCCATTCTTTTCTGTGCAGCTCCATTCTCTGACGTGAGAAATCTAGTTCCTATAATTCTTAATATCCTTACCACTTGGCTCAAGTTATCTATAAGAACCATTCTGATCACACAGTTTTCCTGCTACCCTCATCACAGACCTCCATGAGCCAACTGAGCATCTCTGACACTTGGGCCATGGCCCCGATGACAGGGACCATGACAGTTACTGTACCTAGTTGAGGCCACTCTTTCCCTCCCCTAGCCCACACAGTGTACTGCACCAACAGCCACAGGAGCTACCACAAACCTACCTGCAGAGCACCAAAGGGAAGGAACTAGGTATTCTTTGATGGTGGTATATATGTCAATGAATGAACCACAATTTATTTAAATATTAGTTTCCTTAATGATGGACCTTAGGTTGTGTGGAATTTTAGAGCATGCTTTTAATGAGCCCAATGTATAAAACATTCAAGTTTGTGAGACCTCCTGTTCTACTGTATATCCACAGATCATAACCAAAAGCTCATAGGAAGCTCAAAGGAAAAGCTTGATCAATCAACCTGAATGTGTGAAGAACAGAATGTATCTTAAATATTTCTCAGACTATTTTTGTTACATGTTTAAATCACTGTCCTATGTAGATAAAGGTATTTGCTTATTTTGAGTTTTAATATAAAATAACAATCATTTTAGACACTTTCAGCAGGAAATAGGAAACCTTCAACTGTCCATTAAAACCTTTGGGATAAATTACTGTTAAGAGTCTAAATTCTGTCTCTTTGCAAACCACATCATATCATTAGCCTTAAATAAGGCAGTAGATTTTACTTCAACTGTGTAGATTAGTCAAGAGAGAATTTTCTAACTTGAGGACCGTATTAGGTGTAGCAAATAAGAAACAGCCAAGTCTGATTTTGAATGTGGTTCTACCACTTGCTTCTGGCAAGTTATTTTTCCTTTGAGTTTCAAGTTTCCTTTTAGGGTTAAGTGGGAGTAATACTACCTGTTTCACAGGTTATATTGTGGAAATGCCTAGAGCACAGGTGATTAACAGAAAGTAGCAGTGGACTTACCAAGTGCCTAGAGGAAGAGCTTGGGGGTGTGTGGAGGAGCCTGTGCTTTTACACTCTTGAGCTAGCTGTACTTTCTGACATAAGACAATAGGAGTTTTCCTCCATAAGCAGAATTACAAGTGGGTTTTTTTCATGATTTTTTAATATTTTCTGAGTTTTCTATAATGAGCATTTAATATTTTAGAAATAAATTTTAAAAGATTTTTATTTATTAGAGAGAGTGTGCAACTGAGGGAGGAGCAGAGGGAGAGGGATAAGTTGACTCCATGCTGACTCCCACAACCCGGAGATCATGATTCCAACCGAAATCAAGAGTCACTTAACTGACTGAGGCACCTGGGAGCCTTTAAAAAATTTTAAAGAGGATAAATTATTCCTGTAACTTCTTTACCCTAAGTACTTCTGAAATTCTGTATTTTGCCATGCAAATGAATTGAATTTATATGTTCCTAATTGTAAATTGAATTTAAATGTACCTAATTCTATCTCTAGAAATTGGATGTTAAAATTCCTATATTTGTAATTGGTTTATTTATCTTTAAATTTTTATTTTTTTTAAGTAGGCTCTGCACCCAACGTGGGGCTTGAACTCAGTGACCCTCAGACCGGGACTTGGATGCTCTACCGTCTGAGCCAGCTGGGTGTCTTTCCATACTCTTTTTTTCAACATTTGTAGGCAGCATTTTGTTTTGTTTTGTTGTTGTTGTTTTTTTTTTACTATTTTTAGTTTTATTTTATTTAAAACACAAATATTTTAATTTCATCTTTAATCCAAATTACTTATTCATGAGAGTTCTGTACATAGCAGGAATTTCGTAGCTTCTATTTAAAATTTTTTTTTTTTTTCCATTTGACAGACAGATCACAAGTAGGTAGAGAGGCAGGAGGAGGAGGCAGGCTCCCTGCTGAGCAGAGAGCCCGATGCAGGACTCGATCCCAGGACCCTGAGATCATGACCTGAGCCAAAGGCAGAGGCTTTAACCACTGAGCCACCCAGGCGCCCCTTAAATTATTTTTTAATTGCTGTGGGTTTTTTTTTTTTTTTAAATTTTATCTTTTATTAACATATAATGTATTAGCCCCAGGGGTATAGGTCTGTGGATCGTCAGGCTTACACACTTTCCAGCACTCACCATAGCACGTACCCTCCCCAATGTCTATAACCCGACCACCCTCACCCTACCCCCCTTCCCCCAGCAACCCTCAGTTTGTTTTGTGAGATTAAGGGTCTCTTATAGTTTGTCTCCCTCCCGATACCATCTTGTTTCATTTTTTTCCTTCCCTACCCCCCAAACCCCCTACTTGGCCTCTCAACTTCCTCAGATCAGGGAGATCATATGATAATTTTCTTGTTCTGATTGATTTATTTCACTCAGCATAATACCCTCTAGTTCCATCCACGTAGTTGCAAATGGCAAGGTTTTGTTTCTTTTGATGGCTGCATAGTATTCCGTGTGTGTGTGTGTGTGTGTCTGTGTGTGTGTGTGTGTGTGTATCACATCATTTTTATCCATTCAGCTATTGATGGACATCTAGGTTCTTTCCATAGTTTGGCTATTGTGGACATTGCTGCTATAAGCACTAGGATAGACATGTCCCTTTGGATCACTACATTTGTATCTTTAAGGTAAATATCCAGTAGCACAATTGCTGGGTCATAGGGTAGCTCTATTTTCAACTTTTTGAGGAAACTTTGTGCTGTTTTCCAGAGTGGCTGCACCAGCTTGCATTCCCACCAACAGTGTAGGAGGGTTCCCCTTTCTACATATCCTCACCAGCATCTGTCATTTCCTGACTTGTTAATTTTAGCCATTTTGACTGGTGTGAGGTGTTGTCTCATTGTGGTTTTGATTTTATTTCCCTGATGCCTAGTGTTGTGGAGCACTTTTCATGTGTCTGTTGGCCATCTGGATGTCTTCTTTGTAGAAATGTCTGTTCATGTCCTCTGCCCATTTCTTGATTGGATTGT